GCGGTCCCAGCCTCAACGTTATCGTCCCGTGCCGTCTTCTGTGCTGCCGCCGCTGCCGCCTCGATCCGTCGTCCAGTTGCTCTCGTCAACAGTCGGTCTGTCGGTCAATCCACACGTTCGTTCTCAGTGGTGTCCTGGTATGCCGTGGCTGGGTTAACCCGCGCGTTGGACGTTGCTGCCGCCTTCGACTTGATCGTCCTGTTCTCCTGGCTGTCTTGAACACTGTCGCTCAACTCGTGCGAAGCGTGTATTGCCGTCTCGTCACTCTTTATCTTCGCTTCTTCTTCTATCGCGTCCGTCCCACGTATCGGTCGCCTCGCTGGTCGTCGCCCTGTTACCACCAGTACTGCTGCTGAGGCTCTCGACAGAGCGTTGACCACTACCATTGTCGTGCCTGGCCTGTATACAATATCAAACTCGTACTCCTGCATGGTAAGTGACCACCTATGCAGTCTCCCAGCGAGATTCGCCGTCGTCATCAGCCTTTTTAACGCCGAGTGATCGGTAACAATAGTAAACGTTCTGCCGTACAGATACGGCCTGAACAGTTTCACCGACCACACCACTGCGAAGCATTCCAGTTCCGTGATCGAGTAGTTCGACTCAGCATCACTATTTACCTTACTGGCGTAGGCTATGGGGTGCCAGCCACGCCCATGGTCCTGCGTCAGGCAGGCGCCAAGCCCCACCTTGCTAGCGTCCGTAATCAAATGAAAGAGAAGTGCAAAGACCGGGTAGATGAGTAACGGCTTCGTTGTTAGCGCTGCCTTGATCCTTTCGAATGCGAACTGTTGCTCCTCCGTCCATTCATAGTCCTGATCTTTCTTCAGCAGGCGTGTCATCGGGGCTGCAATTGAACCAAATGCCTCGATGAACTTCCGATAGTAGCCTGCAAGATGCACAAACCGTTTGACCCCAATAGCGTCAGTTCGTCGCGGGAACTCTGTCACTGCCGTTACCAGTCGTTGCACAGGCAGCACGCTTTTGCTGCTCAGTTCGTGTCCGAGGTATTCGATGGATTCAGTGGCGAACATGCATTTCTTTAGCTTCAGTGTGAGTCCCGCGGCCGAGAGTCGATCCAACACCACGGCGAGTTCAACCACATGCTGCTCCACGTTACCGCGCGTGAGCACTACGATGTCGTCCAAGTACACTAAGCACGAGAGCCACGTTAATCCGCGAAGCACGCCGTTCATCATGCGTTGGAATGTAGACGGGGCGTTCATCAGGCCAAAGGGCATTCTAGTGAACCGGTATAGCCATCGCTTGGTGGTGAACGCCGTTTTGTCCTTGTCCTCCGGAGCAATGCCGATCTACCAGTATCTCGACCTCAGGTTCAGCGTCGTAAACAGTCTTGCGCCACCCAGCGTCTTCAGAGTCTTGTCGATGCGTGGCAGCGGGTAGACGTTAGTTACCTTGTTTAGTGCGCGATAGTCAATACAAAAGTGCACTTCACCGTCCTTCTTCTTGACTAGCACAACTGGGAATCCCCACGCGCCGTTGCCTTCTTCAATTACACCAGCTCCGAGCATCTTGTGCACGTTGTTGTCGACAATAGCGTTTTCTTAATGAGCCTGCCGGCGTCTCTTTAGCATAATCGGGGCTGCCTGACCCGTATCTATGTGATGCTGGACGTCCAGTGCGGACAGTCGCCGTGATCCACTGATACTTTACGATAGGCTCGTAGCAGCCGGATAATCAGGCTCCGTGCGCCAGTCTCCTTACTGCCGATGCGTACCTCATCTTCGTTGTCGAGCGGCGTCTCATCATCGCCCAACTCTTTTAACCATGCACCCAACGAGTTCGGCTTTGCTCGGCAGCTTCACCTTACCACCGTGCACGTTGATCGCGGAAATTGTGGCTTTCCCGTTTCTACTGCGGGTCACTGTCGTTGCCAGCATCACGGTACCGTAGCTTGTCGTCGGCACAGAGATGCCTTCCTCATCGTCGGGTGCCGTCACCGACACTTCTATCGGCGTCACTGTCTGCCACGTCAGTGGCGTACGCCGTACCAGTCGTACAGCTGCGATCTTGGCGTCACCGTCGCCTTCGTCTGTCCTGATCGGTATCACTACTCGTTCCTTCTTGTCTTCGTAACGCATCTCATTGCGCTCAAAGTCTATGACGGCCTTGTACTGCTGCATGCAGTCGAAACTCATCCTTGCATCCGTCGATAATACACGCGGGCACTGTCACATCTTGTCCGAACGTATTTCTCATGTTGAACGTCCATACGCCAAGGACGTCCAGCAAAAATCCGCCGATACATCTACTGGTGACGCTTGTTTCGACCGTTCTCCTCATAACATCCAGGCTGTTCCGGCCACCGAATAACGCGCGCCCGAGTCCAACTTGACGGGTAGCCGTTCGCCTTCCACATCCATGGTCGCCATTGGCAGACCGTCCTCGGCCGATTCACCCAGATCGTCACTCGCACCCGTCGCATCCGTATCAGTTACACTACGCTGACGCTGCACTAGCCGTAGCTTGGTACGTTCACTTGTTCCAAGCTGGTCGTCTTGACGTTTGCGTAGTCGCTGTCGTCGTGTCAATTCAGCGCGAGCTTCGCGGCCTTGTTGCCCTCGTCGCGACCGTCTTTCTGCATCTAATGCGGCCAATGTCTCGTCGATCTTATCACTCGTCGTTGCCGCCGCAATATCCCGTCGCTTTACAACCTGGACCCTCTCCTGCTTTGTCCGTCGCCGTCTTACCTTCGCCCCGTTTCGCACTTTGGCACCATCAGCTGCTATCGAATTGGTCTCGCCGACTTCCTCGTCGTCCGAATCACACTCATACACTTTCACTGCCGTATCTGCCTGATTTCCGCCATTGCTAGTTTCCACGTCGGACATTCTGGCCGCCCGTGTGTCGCCTTCCCCCGTTATTCGTACTCCGCCGAGAACTTTGAGACTTCCGCCTTCCCCAGTCGACTGTACGCCATCATCTTTCTTGCAATCTGCTCGTACGTAGCGCAGTGCGGCCATCGCTGGTCGTACCGTCATCCCGTAGCGACGTGTTCGTTCCTCAGCTCGCCCCGCCAATTCTCCATCCAGAAAGGCATCCGCTGCTGCTGCTTCTCCATTTGTAGTGGGGGATTGTTCACTACCCACAGTCGTTGGCCAGCTGCCTCTCGTCGTTACCGTCTCTACACCACTTGGCGCCACTTTCTGGGAAATAGGCTCATCTTCCGGACGAAGTGACCCCCTCACTACGCCCGTTCGTCGTTTCCCGTAGCCGAAGTTGATTGCACCTTGCGGGTAGCCAGGTACGCGTCGTTACGTGCCTTGGCCTCAGGGTCCGGGCACCCCTTCGCAAAATGACCAGACTTGTCACACGCATAGCACCTGTTGTCCGTTATCGGCCACCTCCTCGACCTTGCTTCTACCGTACGCAACTGGGGCTCGTCCTTTGCTGAATGAGTCGGCGCCTTCGTTTTTCGGATCGCCGCCCTTCGTTTCTTCGTCTTCGGCTCGGGTAGCTCTTCGTCCGAGTCCGACTCTTCGCTTGAATCAGCCATCGATTGCACTACCCGCACCTTTCCTCGCTTTTCGCTGCTTCCGCGCTTACCGCCGTCGTACCAGCCGCTCTGTCTCGCCTTCTGGACCTTCTTAGTGGGTTTCCAGAATCGTCCGTTCCAGGAACGACCGTCTGGGACGTCCCATAACCCCGTAATCTTTTATAAACGCCTAGCGGGTTCGTGAAGTACGTCACTTCGTTGTTTTTCCGTTTCTGTCTGCGTCGCCATCGCATCAACAGCCGATCCTACACCTGGAATGATCACTACCCTTCCAGTCGTGCCGTCCATGGGTATGGTGTACGCGTTTGGTGCCGTCGCCCACGACTAACCGATATTCACCATGCCGCGGGCTACGTTGTCGATCGGGTCGTCTATTGCTGTGGCCTTGTCCACCGCCTGTTCCAGTGTTGTCGGTACCGGTTCTTGTTTGACTAACATCCGGGTCGTCTTATCCAAATTTCGGTAGAACTGACCGAGCAGCGTCTGTTCGCTGACGTGGTTCGGGCCCATGACATCGCGCAAGCCAGCCGCAAAGTTGGCAAATGTCTCGCCCGGATACATCATCGGTCTCCACGTGGATCGCCAAAGTTGACCTAGCCGTGCAAGGCGCTCGTATCTCCGGACGAGGGGATTGGACGGACGAAGAGCTGTACTTCATTGTAGGCAACAAGTTGCAGGATAATGCGGCGAGCTGGTGGGTCCAGATGGATCAAGAACTGCCAGAGAGCGAGAAGACGTGGACACGTCTGAAGGAAGCGCCGATGCGGAGATACGGTGAGCTTCCGGACCCAGTGATGGCCGAATGGAGAGTGTATCAAAGGCGAGGGGGAGCTTGTACACTGCAAGCTCCAAGTCCTTCGCGTTCTTACGGCGTTGCCTGTGTTGTACTTTTCGTGGCCGGTTAACTGTGCTTGCCCGTCGACCTTGTCTCCTGCGTCGCCGTCCGCCACCACGACCCTGAGAGCTGTCGCTACTGCTGTCGTCGCCGTTGCTGTCACTATACCTGCTGTCGCTGCTACCATCGCCACTACTATCTGGTGAAGGTGGTCGTCGCACTGCTCCTGCTCCTGCTCCTCGTCCATCGTTGACTGCGACTTGAACTTCGTGCGTTGCCATTGGTACTACTGCCGGTGCGGTTTGCGCTTGTGGCAGCACTACAGTCGCTGGGGCCGCTCGTTGTCCCGCCAGGCCCACCGCTTCTGTTTGTTGTGGTCTCGGTGCCACAGCAACTTGTGAGGTTGCCACCGGTGGTACTACCGGTGCGGTCCTCGTGGTCTCCATCGCTCCCACGCGCGCTTCCAGTCTCGTCATTGTAGTCATCATGTGGTGGATGGCTGTCAGCAATGCCGATGCGCTCGCTGTCGCTCCATCTTCCTCGATGCTCGTCGTGTTCGCCGCGAGTCCGCCACCCGTTGCTACTATCAAGCTATCCTCGTCAAACCTTCCAGCACCCTCTGACGGCGAGACTACAGATCTCGTCGGGTTATGCCGTTCCTCCTCCACTGCCCGTGGATACGCCTGTCGCTGGGTCCGGAGCAGGTTGCCGATCTGGTACCACTGGCTGCTGTGCAGTCGCCGCCGTTGTTTGCTGAGCCGGTTGTCGTGCTGACGTCTCCTCGTTCGCTACAGGATCCTGTGAGATCGTCGTTCTCACCGTCGTCGTGTCCTGCTGTGCCTGTCCCGATGGCTGCATCGAGCGAGTCACCACTCCCGTAGTTATTGTCGGCACCATGATCGTTTTCGTCCTTGCCATACGTTGGGTCGTAGCCATACTCCCAATCTAACCCGTACTTGAGTAACTTAATAGCCGACCTTCGTTCAATACAACGTCCCTGTATTGACCACCATGTAACGTGTCTTTGCTCCCCTGCACGCCGGGGTTGGTCGCCCAGTGCTGATGGCGCACAAGATCCGGATGGCCGACGATGAACAACTCTGTTCACCGCGCCGGCGTGTGATTCACTGATCGCACACCTACTTTATTACTGTCCTTTTACAACCCAAATACAGATAACGTCCTCTACGAAATGTACTCGAACCCGCCGCAGCTCAGTAAGTTTCCAGCGTCGCCCACTTATTCACATGGACTCGGCACGCACTCAGACTCCGCCCTACTACGCAACCTTCAGAAGACTTGGGAGAGCTCTCGCTGTCTGCACACCTCGCCGACTGTCCTTGGTTCTCGTCCACCGAGGCGCTACCCGTCCGTCCGTCCGTTTGTGCACTACCTCTCGCCCCACTGAGCTCGAGCAGCACACAGTCCAATCTCAACGATCCGGATACCACTAATCTTCGAGTGATGCCGACACCGCTAATCTTAAAGTGCTGCCGTCTCTGGCCTTCTCTCGTCCGAGAGCTCACCGTATCCTACGAATTCGGATACAGGAGACACGTACCTACCGTCCTTCAATACCGTCAGCAGCCAGATGCCACACTTCGTCAGTACCGTCCGTTCCTGGCAGCTTCTGCGCTCTGCCTGATCACCGTTTTGTCCTCCGCCCATCCTATCGTACTCGTCAAACGAGTCACCGTACTCGTCACGTCCGCTCCATCGTACACGTCCACTCCATCGTACACGTCCGCAACATCGTTCACGTCCGCATCATCGCTCGCCGTGAACGAGCCGTCATACTCGGTCGCGTCACCGAACTCGCCCGTATCACAATACGTAACCGCCTTACTGTACTCGTCCGTATCATACTTGTTATAGATGGATGGACCAAATCGCAGCCGAGATAGACGTCTATTGCTTCATGGACATCGAGAAAAGGCGAGCTGTTGCAGCATGTTCAGCCAAGACATGTGGGTCCAAGCGAAAGCAGCAAGAATCGCTATTGGGCCAACTTGCTACGAGTATTCACGGATAAGGTGGCGTAGCCGAGTGATGTCATAATTTTACGAAGCATCTAAAGCTTGCGCTAGCTTATTATCACTGCTGCGGATGCCAACTCCGGTGTCTTTGTCTTCAATAATGAGCGGCTTCTCTCGCATTGGGCCCTACCAACATTTACGCAGCACTTATCACAGAACGTACGTTAAATATTTTGTACCCCTAGGGTCAGTCTGTGGACTATCGACTCAGGTAACAATCGCTTAATTAAACCCGGGGGGGGGGCAATGTAATATAATGGTTAGGCTGTCCAGACAGCTAAAGCTGTCCTCCCAGAATAACCTTAGATATGAAATACTCTTTGTTATGGCATACATTTCAATTCATGGAGCCAGTCATGAATCGATTGTAACCCTCCCACAACTAAACTTAGAGTTCGTATTGCGATTTAAGTTGTTTTACAGACAACGACGGAGAAATCCGACACCACTGAATAGCATCCAGCCATAGTAAAAGAAAAAACACAGAGCCCGACACAAAAATCCGACGCTTCATTTGATAGGCTAATAACGCACTCCAAATAACAAAAAACAGCACAGTAAAAACATGTGAATGAAATAAAAGGGGATTATATTGAGACGATTACTTCCGGATATGTACCTCGGGATAGCCTTTTCGAAGCTACGAATTATCGTTTTCTTCTCTAGCTTTTCCCAAGCAGCAATAGTAGACATTATAGTACGGATGCGCTTTTCCTTAGCGGTTCCACCAGTGCGTCTACCACAACGGTTCCGTATTTTTAATGTAAGAAAGCTAGCTCAACACCACAATAGCACAAAAAGTACATTCACATTGACTTACTTGCTCAAGTCTGCGCATATCCTTCATGTATGTTTAAAGGTCAGAGACGCCAGGAAAAATTTCCTTGCGTCCCTGACCTTTTAACGTCTTTGACGTATGGTGTGTCTTGCAATATTAAATTTTTCGGAGGCGGTCTTAACGCCCCCACATTTAGCGATCCTCAAGGCCTCGCGCTTTTGCTTCATTGTGAAGCTTCGCTCAACGCGGTTCATCGCGCAAAATGACTTTATAATACCGACGCCCAAGAAGTGTTTTATCTCCAGCCATTCATCATTTTTTTGTAAGTAATTGGATTAAAAACTTCTTGTATAAAGATATGATTGGGTAAAAATACAAAATTAGTTACTATGGGAAAGAGGTGTGCTCACAATCACTAGTCGGATTTTTGTGTCTGTCGGATTTCTCCGTCGTTGTCTGTAGCCCGCATCTACATGTATACACTGTAGATCCGGTGTATTGCACAGCTAAGGCTTTCAGTACATAGTTCTCAAGGTAACATTTGAGGAATGCGCAAGCAATCTTCAAAGCCAAGAGATGGTCATGCCATTTTTTGGAATACTATTAAATATATATGCTGCTAATGAAATAAATGTTAAAGCGCCCAATGTACCTTTTCGAAATCGTGGTCTATACCAAATATCGCATACTTTTGTTATATTAAACAAGTCACGGCTCTTTTTTTTCGAATTCTTTTCAGCGCTACAATCGTCTTCTTTTGCGCTTTTCAACGGTCATGTTACATGTATTTTAGGCAATTCCGTATGGATCAATAAAACTAACAATCCAAATTTGCATCAAGTGGGGCACGAACAGAAAGAATAAGCGTGTCTCTTGTCTTGCTACGACTTTCTACAATCGCTCGCCTCGTTTAACGTGACGATCGAATAGCAGTGACGTAGCGTTGGAGTGCCCACGGGGTTTTCCGTCTATCTACTTAATCGGACGTAGACATTGAAGTAATACAGTGAATGTGCTCAAAGTTGAAGTGAAGCTAAGGTCGATCAAGGCTACCTCTCGGTACGGGACACGCAGATGATGATGCAGAGCCGATGCTACCGACCGCGTACTTTACGTACTAAGGGCCCGAAGGGGTCAGTAGACTGGACCAATGGTACGCACCCAAAGCTTGGGCAGCCAAGGTTATATGGGTTACCGTCAAAGATCCTTCAGCACCTTTGGAGCATAAACGAGTAGTGCTTCATCTCGCAGGGGAGCAACCGGAGAGCAGAGTAAAACAGCACAGGAGTGCTTTACCTGATTACATCCTCGCAACCTGAGCGAGTGTGCGAGGAACCGCTGGAATGTTTATTGGACGCAGGAGTGGCAAAAAAGGAGACTGTATCAACCTGGGATAACACCATCAAACAATGTCGAGAAGGCATAAGGGCCCTATCCCAGCGGGAACATAAACGACGAAAGCAATTACAAGCGAAGAGGCAACAAACACCCAGAGCCAAGTGCAGCTCCTATTGTACTGGCGAGATGAAATGCAACACCAAACATTGCCCCTTCACAACTTCTCACCCAATTACCCAATTTATATGAGCTTTTTTTTGTTGGAAAGATAACGATTTCTTCTCTTAAGTAGTCATAATCATCCATGAATATCTGCTCAAATGCACATGCTACACTTAATCGAAAAGTGCGTGTCTTTCGTTCCGCCCAAAAAATCGAGGCTATGTTCTTGACATATGGCATCAGATGTTTTGGTCCTTACAAACTTTAGTATTACAATCAACAATGCCCTTTTTACTCATTTCTATGCACATTTGATCCTATGAAGTGGGGCTGTCGGCGATGCGTTTAACACTGCATGTAGCAATCTCTACGCTGATCCTGTAGCTAAAACCAACTTCTGCAGATGCGTTGCATTCCAAGCTGCATTCTGGCGTAAAGCTTGTCACTTTAGGCTTCTTTGTTTATTAAATATCGCAAGAAATTTTCTGTGCATGCATGATCAGCATCAATTTCCCGCAGACGTTTGAGCTTCCACCATTATAATGAAAGACAAGAAAGTCAAACAATGTGTGTTTGTCTGTAATCTCTGTGCTACCCTGTTTCCATTGCGGGTCTGCCGGCATTAATCCGATAATTACTTTTGTATTTATGGGCAAAACAAAAAAATGGTGGTGCATTTCATCTCGCCAGTACAATAACGAAATATAAAGCTAGCAACTTTGGGCACGAATAGATGCCAGTATTCGGAAATATTCACGGTAAGGTGCCAGACGTCGAGATTTTGACAGGTTTGTCGAAATACCGGCAGATCGACAGCTCTCGTCACGGGATAATATCCCTCTTATGGAATCAGTGGCAGAGCAAGAGACACGGCAGCACTGAACCGACATCAGCGGCAAGACCTTATGGTTTGGATAATAATTTTTTCAAGGAAACGGAAGCCATATCGTCCCTGCGACCACGGCGATCAGCAACGAACTGATGAAGGGGGGGGGCTCTCGTTTCTAGGGGCATTGATAATTCGTCTAAAGCAAAAGGGGAATCAGATGATACAATGAGTTTTCGCCCAATATTGCTATTGCAAACAAGATGTACGATCTTCACGAAAGTGGTTGCGACTCGAGCTCAGAAGATAATGGGCAGAACGATTGGGACTTCCCAACAATGTTTCGTACACGGACGTCAAATGATGAAGATGCTGCTCGCCATGCTGGATACTGCTAAAGCCGAACCGGAATTAACAGCGGCTCTGAATAGCGTTATCCTACTTCTTAATTTCAAAACCGCGTATGACACGTGTCGAGGGAATTCCTATTCCTGGCACTAAGTCGATTTGGTTTCTCAAAGGAATTCGGCCACATGATCCGTCGCCTTCATGAAGGAACGACAGCTCGATTCCTGGTGAACGGAGAGGTCTCCGATCAGCTCCAAGATCGATCTGGAATACGTCAGAGATACATGCCCCCGCGCGCGCCTACTGTTTATCCTTGCAGCCGACGTGCTAGCATTGACAATCCAGCAGAAGACACAAATCACGGCATCATAGTACCAGGGCAATCCAAATCGATACACAGAAGACACAAATCACGGCATCATAGTACCAGGGCAATCCAAATCGATACACAAACTCTTGGTCTTTGTTGGCAATTCTACAGTATTCCCACAGTCTGCGAGTCAGCTTCCGAGGGCAATGCACTTAGTAAAACGATTTGGGGACATCTCGGGTCTACAAGTGCAGCCGGGCGACAAGATGTCTTTCTCTATACAGCTGTGGAGTCGGAGATGTTCGAAGGGTTCCCAGACCTGCGCTACATCGGCTATCGGATCGGAACTAGGCCGCTCATTTACATGAATTGGGATTTGAGGATTCGGACCATTAGAAAAGGCTGGCGACGGCAGCTCAGTTATCCTTAATTGTGGATAATCGAGTCCTGTTACTCAATGTGGTTTTGCTGCCATCAGTATTGCTAGCTGCAGCAGTATTTAAAAAGCCCGACTGGGCAGAGAAGCAGATCCGCAATATACAGAAACGGTTTTTTGGCAGCACTCGCTAAACACTGATGAGGCTGTCGATGCACAAAATAATATCGAGCCTATTGCTCACCCCTAAACAAATGGGTGGTGTCAGACTGGCCTCGATTTAAATAGCGTGCACAACGCAGAGGAATAAACACGCAAATTTATGGCTAATCCAAGGACACGACACTTGCTACGAAGTCAGGAGAGCATGGACCTTTCGTGGAAAAGATCAGCCGTGGCAAAGTGGCATCTCACCGCGACCGGACACAAGGAAACCAGTGAGAGACACCCGGTAAACCGCTGCAGTGATTATTAGGAAGCTGTCATCCGAGTGGTCAACGGTGGGGATAGCTCGGTAGGCAGGTCGAGAAGAAGAAGAAGAAGTTTCTTGTAGGCGTCAAAAGACGAAGTGAACACTTTATTAATCTTAGGAAGCCACTAGTAGCTGCACATCAGCCATTAGTGTTGAAATAGCTTAAGCCAGTCATAACAGCTTAAGAAGGACATCCTAAATCTCATTATATTGTATAAGAGAGATTCTTTCAAGGTAATCATACTGTTTAGAGGCTACTCCCTGCCTCTGAACATATTTTATTAAACTGACAATTCTATGTTATAACAGAGGTAAAACTTTTCTTAAAGGACATTTACTCAGTCCTTGAAACGCCGCCAAGGAAGTCGCTTAGGCAAGCCGATCCGACTTTGCCCTGGCGTTTTCTGCAACGGAAGAAGGACAACAAGTGAAACGCCTGGTAGGAGCTCAAGGATGAAGCCCAACGTGCCGTCTTTACCTGCCACTGCTACGAAGCAGGCTCCCTCACGCATGACGAAGAGAAAGAAGAAAACCACAACAGACTGCGTGCTCGAAAGAAGGCACGAGAGGCTGCTCGAGCTGCTGCCACGCACACCGCGACCGTGCATCGTGCACTACACCATCTCAGGCCGTTCCAGAGGCTGAAGCAGGCTCTGAGACTGGGCAACCAGCTTCTGAAGCTACGCCAGAAGGTTCAATCGCTATATTAGCATCGGTAGAGGCTCTTTCCGTGGACACAGAGCCCTTTCGAGTTGCAAAGAGTGATTCTATGAGGGAGAAGAATAAGTGGGCGTTGCGGACAGCACAGCAGCTTGCGCCAGTACTCATCGCCACGCTGGAGGAGGAGGAGGCTTCTCGAGCACACGTGGCCACCATTCCATCAGATGTCACTAAAGTGGGAAAATTTAATGATGATTTCATTTGTCACACTGAGACTACAAAATCGACAAATTCTGACACCGACAATGTGTCTAGTGACACAAATGCTGATAGTGACAGTGACTGTGAGATGTACTGGCGTATCTATGGCAGGAATTACAAGCGGTCAAAATTGACTGTCACCGCAAACTACGCATCAACTAAAGAGACGTGGCAGATCGCTCGAAAAAATGACAGGCGTGGTGACACGCTACTGAAATACAACTACCAAGTGCTGTGAGTTAACCTTTTCATCAGGAAAAGGCGGTACTACCAAAGGACGTGGGGACCCCGTGCTCAGCTGCTTGCCACTAACTCCCGTAAAGAGATTGAGTTGGTGGACAGGTGGAAAGCTTCTGAAGTCAAAACCTTCGCTAATTTGGCCAACCGATGAGTTTGGCAAGAATGCTATCGGTGCAGACATGGAAGGACTCTGCATTTTCACACGTTGAAACGTGCAGCGGAATTAACCTGTCGTCCGGATATCGTGACAAAGAAGGACATTGACGACTTTGTGGAGCCCCAGAGGACCTCACGTGGAGAGGACTTAACGAAAGGGACGTCGTGGAAGGTTACGTGATGCTGGCCGTGACTTCATTTACAGAGCCATTGCTTTGGATAGTTTCGCGGTTTCTGGTCGACTTGGTGTTCGTGTGCTCAATGAGATCATGCTCAAAAATGGTGTCTACGTTGTTGCTGCTTACAACCATAAAAACGTTGGGCATGCTTTTGTTCTTACAGTCCAAGGTAAGGACCGGTTTATCTACGATTTGAAGGACGGTAAGCCTGTTGAGTCAGCAGAGGATTCGATTGATTTCTATGCATTTGTTCGTCCACATATTGTCTGCACGCAGAATTAAAAGATAGGAGTCAGTAGGATTTCCGCGGGTTTGCTTAACTGATAATGAACTTTCCCAGCAAATTTGTTGTGATGCATGGATTATTATCTGTAAATTCTTGTTTCTAGATAATTCGGTACTTGACCAGGGAAACCTCAATGAGGGAAAACCTTGTGCGAGCAAAAACGATAAACCCAGTGGGAAAAAATCTAAAAAGAATGCTGAATATAGACACGCTTCATGTGCTTGTATTATCAGTGTATTTCTATACTGAGTGACCGAATTCTACTTTAGGGATTTCATCCTGAGCTTGGCCCTTAGTTCTCTGAACTGGTGCTTGTCTAAAGCTTTAGTAAAGATATCAGGTATCATTTCTTTCGTATTGCAGTAGGTGACGTTGAAGTCATGCCGCTCTACTTTTTCTTGTACGAAACAGTATCGTACTTGTATAAGTTTTGATCGTCTTTGAAGCTCGGGGTTGTAGCCGATTTTAATGTAGCTCTGATTATCCTGTTAGCCTGCGGTGTAACAAAGCTAAGTTCTTTGAGGAAAAGTTTGAGGAATATCATCTCTTGCATGCAGTGGCATAGGGCGATATATTCTGCCTTTGTTGTAGAGAGAACTACAGTATGATGCTTTCGCGAAAGCCATGAGATAGGACTGCCTGTAAGCATTGTCACGTATCCTCCAACGGAGCGTCTCGTGTCGGGACAGTTGACGTAGTCAGAGTCACTGTAGACCATCAGTTGATCGGCTAGGTTTTCTGAGGTAACATCGGTCGAGTCTCCCAGAAGAAGACCGTATTCTTTCGTTCCGGATAGACACTTTAGACCACGGATGACTGCTTTCCAGTGACCCATCTCTATATTCGCTAGGAATTGGCTGACCTCTCGCATGTAAAAAGCCATGTCGGGTCGAGTGCCGACCATAAAGTACGTGATACTGCCTACGGCTTGGCGATACGGAATCGATTTCATCGCACCTTTCTCTTGCTCACTGCACTTCGAGGCCACAATGACGAGATCCTGGACGTGAGCTTCAATAGTACGGGCTCTAAACTCGTGACAGCGTCGGCAGACGGCACGTCGCGTATCTACAATACCATGACTGGCGCGTGCCAAGCCATTGTGATAGGCTAAACTCTCCGTAAGCAGCCAGCCTAGTCTTCCAAGAGAGGCTTCGGTTCCTGAAACCTATTAAAGATGGATGTGTGTTTCGACGCACAATTGGTGACATCACCTATTACATTGCAGTGTACGTCGATGACTTACTGATCATTGCGCCAACACCAGCACTCGTCAATGAGCTGAAATCAGCCCTGAAAAAGCGATTTTCCATGTCAGATTTAGGGGAGGTGAAGTACTTACCCGGCTGGCCCATTCAACGTGACCGCAAGAATCGAACGATATTTATCCACCAACAAAAGTACGTTACGAAGGTCGTTGACCGCTTCAGCGACTACATTCCGTACCCTTTGCAACACCAGCGACCGCCCCTTACCGAAGAGTGCAGTCGGGTGTCGCTATGCCAAGCGACGTTCCGGCAGCGGTTCAACGCCCCAGAACCCATCAAACGTTCAAGGGGTACCATACCCCCCCCCGTAGGCCGAGTGTACTACCAGCAGCCCATCACTGCCCTTTACCGGTCTGAGAGAACTGCGTCTTATTAGGCTAAGCCCCGTGGTGCGCACAACCTGCCCACCCATCATGAAGGCTTAGCGCTCTTCAGTAGGACATACCGCCTCTACAGGTGGCCGGGGAGTATTCGTCCACCTGGCCGTGGCCTCCACCGCCGGACATGGGGTCGCTGAGCTGTCTTCTTCCCGAGGCCTGGCGAGGGACACACACGCTGGTAGTGTCCATGTCCGCCGCATCCGTAGCAGCGGACCAAGCTCTCGGCTGAGCTCAAGTCCATGGGTTCAGCTCGCTGTACGCACCGGTATCAACGGGCTGCGTGACATCAGGAGCAACATCGTCATTGTTGCGATGCTCCGCCTCCCGAGGAACGCCAACCTCATTGTGGCGATGCTCCTCTTCCCGAGGAGCACCATCCTATTTGTGGCTGTACTCTTCTTGGAGGGCGATTCGAATCGCCTCCTCCATAGTTGTCGATTGCACCCGGAATAGCTGGGTGCGAGCAGGACCGACCTTCAGGTCGTCCATGAAGACTGTTGTCTTGATGTCTTCAGGCAGAGGATTCCCTGCCAGAGATGCCACCAACGTGCGCATCTATTGCACGTACTCCTGCAGATCACGTTTACCTTGCTTACACGCGAGAAAGCGTGAGCGCTGGCGGAACTCGTCGTTCGCCAATAGGAATGCGGCTCGAAGCTGTTCACACAGCTGAGCCCAGGATGCAAAGCATCCAGGAGATGTCGTCTCCCTGGTGTGTGTCCAGTGCTTGGCATGTCCACCAAGATTGGACACGGCAAAAGCCACCCGAAGTGGCTCGTCCGAGATGAGACCCGCCTTCATGACGATCTCCACCTCACGGACCCAGAAGTGAAGGTTATCTCCTTCCTTCCCCTCAAACGCGGGGACCTCCAGCCTTATCGGTTTAGGCCTGGTTGCACGGAGAGCGGCCACCGAGGCCGTCACGGTCCCGCGAACGTGAGCGATGAGACCACGCTCGTACGTCTTAAACGCGGCCACGCGCTCGTGTTGATCGGCACGCGTCGCCGCCGCCAAGGTGCGGAGGACATCTTATCCAAAGATGCATCTTATCTTCCGAACATACTCGTGCTGTGAGTCGTTCAAGCGAGGAAACTCACTTCGGTTCATCGTGGCTCAAACGTTGAACGCACAGAGGATTCAGGCACTTCAATCTACCCGCGAAGGTGTAGGATTGACTACGAGTGCTACCAAGTGTGACGGGGTCACACAGCATCTTGCACAGAGGAAGTGCTTATGGGTATTAACTACCCGAGTGAACGTTAGTCCACGTGTTCCCGGCCTCAAAGGGAACGGTTTGCTACTTGGAGATGTAAGACTGATGTATTTATAAGTAAGCTTAGCGTTGATCCTTTACAAACTAGAGGTTACCTATAGTGGAGCTAAGTAGTCATGCCCTAACTGGCTCCTAGAGCACCTGGTACCGTGTACCAGGTGTCCACAAGAGTGATGGGTCACTCTTTATGTAGCCTGGGGTACACCGGATTGTACCCCGTTACAGCATTGTTAACCTCGTTAGCGTTTCTACAAGAACTCATCGCGGTCCTGAGAACCGGAGTTCAGCACCTCGTCCACAACCTCTTCGAACTCTTCATAAGCAAGGAGGCGGGGAAACTCAGGGCTGTAGAGCTCATGACGGTCAGCGCCCAGAAAACAACTGCGATAGCTGCGCCGAATTCATGGCGGCACAACAGTCTCCCACGCGCGATCATTATTTCGCGCGTTTGTGGCTTAACGTTGCCGCCCAACGTGAGTTCATGCGGTCCTTGCATTCGTCAATAATTTCTGCCAGTGTGTTTTTGCGCGGCTGGAGCCCGACAGGAATGAATATTGGCTCACATAACTTAATTCAGTACTGGGCGGGGACTTCTAGAAGGTGATAATGTTTCAAGTGGGGGGATTCTAAAACGAAAGGGACTTAGCTTTTACAGTAGCTTTGTGGTATTAAAAGCCAGCTCAGTATAATACCGGCATGGCTTTGCACGACGGCCTCGTGAACTGGCCGCTATTTTTCGGCTGCATCCTCGTGGGCATCGGTCCGCTCGCAGCGCTCTTCTTCGTGGTGGTAGCTAAGCGTGCACAGCTGGTGATTCTGGCGTTGAGTGGCGCCTTCGTGTGGCTCGTTGCCATCCTCGTGACGGCGACACTTTGGCAGATCATCCCTCCCCTCAAAACGTCGCTGTCGGCTACAGTTCCCGTGGGTGTCGTAATTCAGGAAGCATTCCGCTTGCTCTTCTTCTACCTCTACACACGCACAGAGCAGGCCGTCAAGCGGGTAACGACGTCCTCGCACCAGCTACCGCTCAATGACATCACGTCGTCACTTGCAGGCGGCGTAGGCTTCTCCGTCATGCACGCGCTGCTGATGTTTGGCAGCCTCGTGGGGTCGTCCACAGGCTCGCGTGGTGCCGCCTTCTCGGCCTCTTGCGAGAGCATCCCGCTCATCTTTTCAGCTGCCATCTCAACGCTGGCACTCACGGCACTGGATGTGGCTCTAATGGTCGTCGCCTTCGACGGGTATCGTAAACGGTCCGCGCTGGCAGTAGGAGCCGTGTTCGTCATTCACATGGGTGTCGCCCTGTCGGTAGGTGATCGTTGCAGTCCATTCCGTTTATTCTCTATCCTTTAATTTGTGTGTGTGTTTTTATTTGGGGCTGCTTGCTACTGGTAGGCCCTTGCCAACATGGAAACCAACGGCTGCTACATCTCCATCCCAGCACACTATGCGGGTGCGGCTTTAGCCTGTGCAGGCGCCACGATGATTGTATGGCGCTCCAAGAGACTCGCCGTGGATGCCAAATAAACAGCAACACAAGACTCTCGGATAGTGTGCCGTCGTATCCTAGTTAGTGGATCGGATAATGTGCGAGGCCCTCGATTCCTTTCTCTTACGGTTAGCTTGTCCGCTATGGAGTCTTGTTTACTCAGGCTTCGGAGAGTCGCTGATCCACGGGCACGTGCTGACGGCAAGCTTCCTTGATCGCCTCCTCGTTCACAGTCCACACCTGCGTCGCCTTGTGCCAGCGATAGAACTGCTCGATGCCCTGCTCGTATAACATTTCATAGCCCTGGATGCACAACACACCTCCCGCTGCATGGGCGTGTGCTAGCATGGGCGTGACAGGAGGCATGTAGGCCGCGTCCAGCACCACTACCTTGCTGCCGTCTGCGCGTGCAGCCACGAGGTGGTCAGGTAGCTGGAAACCTGCCTGTGCCGGGATCGTGCCAACAACCACATCGACCCGAGCAAGTGTCTCGGGCGTTAGCTCTGACAATGCCTCGGCCTCGAAGCGGGCAGCCACAGCCTGAGCCTTGTTCAATGTACGGTTGAAGACGAACAACTTGCCTACACCCAACTGACGCATCGCGTACGACGCCGCCATGGACGTGCCACCAGCGCCAACCACAAGTGCCGTCAATTCATGAGCAGGTTTCTTGACACTGAGCGTGGCCAGCCGCTTGGTGATGGGGCGTAGAATACCCAGCCAGTCCGTGTTGTCGCCCTTCCAGTACGGCGATCCATTGCGGTCTTGACGCATGACCGTGTTCACTGCGCCAATGGCTCGTGCAGCTGGTGACAACTCGTCCAGGTGCTCCATGATGTCCACCTTGAAAGGAATCGTGACGGAGCCCCCGCCGAAGTTCGTGTTCGGCACTTGCATGCGCTTCACAATCTCCACCACGTCCGTGGTGTCGTGCAGACCGTAAGTGAAGAGCGAGGCCAGCGAGGTGGACTCGAATCCAGCATTGTGCATCGCAGGCGACGGCGATTTCTGGATCGGGGACCCAAACAAGAAGAACTCGCGCGCTGATGGAACAGCAACAGACAAAAGGCAAGAGGAAGAGTAGTGAGATCGATGCGCATTATCGGAGCTCATGAGGTCTTCGAAATTAGATACCTGGGAGAAGTCCAAGCTGTTTGCGCAGAGTCATGATCTCCTCGATAGAGAGTTGGCCTGGCGCTGCAGCAGCAGGCAGTAGTGGATGCGTCACAGGCGTCAGCGTCCGGTTCAGAACACGAGTCAACTTGCCAGCCTCAGTCGTGCACAACGAAATGATCGGCATGTGCTGCTGCCACGCACTCGCAAAGTCCTTCGCCACACGATCGACCATGAGTGCATCGACAGGAGAATAAGCCTTGACCACCACCTTGACGATCTGGACTCTGCCCTGCGAGTAGCACTCACGGAAAATCGCCTTAGCTTCCGCTTCGGACGTCGGCTTCTGGACGGCGTGAAAGGACGAAATAATGGCAGAGCGGTGACGGTGAGCCAGCAACTGCTCGCGTGCCTTACGAGACCAGCACGTCTCCATGTCAACGAACTCGCAACCCAAACGAACCCCCAGTTGAAGCAGCTCGAACATCTTCTTCTCATGTTCCTCGCCATCGGGGAAAGCGCCACCCTGGACCTTCGACCGCACCGTGAAGATGATAGGAAGAGTAGAAAGCGAACGAAGAAGCGCCACTTGAGCAGCCACGAACTTCGTGTCCTCCGCGTATTTCAGTAGATCCACACGTAGCTCCAACGCATCTGCACCCTTGGAGATGTCGTCGATGAGCGAGTGAGCATCGTTCAAATCGGGGAACGTCAGCGACAAGAAGAACGTGTCCGAACGGCACGACGAGCGGTAATCGAAGCTCGTAGGCAGACCCGGAATAACGACCGAAAGGAAACGCACAAAGTCGCGGTCGATGCGCGGGTAGTCCACGTCTCCAGCGTTCACAACGAACTCAAATGTTGAGCTGCGTTGGTAGAGAGGCTCCCGTCGTGCCCAAACGTTTGCGTGGCTGTCTCCGAGTGAAGGGCGGTGTGATTCCTCCACTGAGTCCAAGTAAGCCAGAACATCCTTCATGGCGCGCTGCACGTGGACCACGTACGGGTACTTTTCAAGCGCGTCCACGATCTCTGGAGTCTCCACAACGCCGCCACCGCAAGAAATAATGGAAGCAGGCGGAGGGTTCGCAATCAAACGTAGCAAAAGTTCCTTCTGTTTCTCGCGGAAAGCTTCCCACGTGTGATTGTGGCGAGCGACAAAGTCTGCAATGGACTCACCGAACTCCTTCTCCAGCACCTTGTCCGTGTCCAGCAGGTCCAGCTTCAGTGCAGCAGACGCAGCCTTCGCCAATGAGCTCTTGCCAGCCCCACGCATACCAATCACAAACACACCAGGGATCGAGGTTGCAGCGTCAGTGTTGTTGATCTTCTCCTCGACAACAGGAGCCACTTGAAGGCCAAGATGCATCTGCACGTGGTCCCAGAACTCCGGGTACGTCTTGTCTGTGCATTCCTTGTCCGTGATGATAATGTTGTCCACCACGGAGCCGAGAACGGCAAAGCTCATGGCGATACGGTGGTCGTTGTGGCACGCAATCGAGACCTTCTTCAGGTGCTCAGTCTTGCCTGCAGTACCCTTGATCCAGATGCCATCAGGTAGCTCACCACACTCCACGCCAATCTTACTCAGCTCCGTCACCATGACCTCAATGCGGTTGCACTCCTTCACACGCTGGTTCGCAATGCCAGTGATCTTGGTCGTGCCATCGGCCACTGCGGCGAGAGCGACAGCAGTCATGAAAGCGTCAGTCATCGTCTCCATGTCGATCTCCACGGCCTTCAGCGGTGTGCCATCCTGTGGACCCGTGACCGTCGTCGACGTGGCGTCTTGGGTCGTGGTGCACCCCATTGAGCGCAGTAAAGTGTGAAAGGCAGCATCTCCCTGGAGACTGGTGTTTCCCAAAGCCTCCACCGTCACCTGTCCGCCTGTGATAGCAGCGAATGCCAGTGGGTACGTGGCTGACGACGCATCCACTTCTACAGACACTTCCTTCGGATTTTGGTACACTCCGCACGGCACACGGTAGCGATTCGGGGCAAGCGTTTCCACCGGGATGCCAAACTGCTTCATGAGTTGCGTGGTCATCAAAATGTACGGCAGCGAAGTGGGTTCCTTCTCTTCTAGCTCCAGCACGAGCGGCTCCTTGGCGTACGGCGCACTGATCAGCACAGAAGACACGTACTGGCTGCTGACTTTGGCCGCCAGACGCACAGCGCCACCACGCAGACCGGAGCCGCGGATCGCCAGAGGCGGACAGCCCTCATTCTCCAAGTACGAAATGTCGCAACCATTGCCTCGCAGGGCATCCACCAGCGAAGCAATCGGTCGCTCCTTCATGCGGTAGTTGCCTGTCACGACCACCGTGCCGTCGTTTTCACTCGGGACCAGCGTCATCGCACTCGTGAGGAAACGTGCCGCCGTCCCAGCGTTGCTGAGGTAAATCTCCTCACCATCCGCCACAGTGGCAAACTTTCCAGCGGTTCCCTCCACGACCAGCACAGCGCCGTTATCTTCCCACGAGAACTTGGCTCCGACCTTCTGCAGCGCGTTCATCATGACCTGAGTGTCGTCCGAGTGCAGAAGGCCCGTAATGCGGCACGAGCCTTCGCCAAGAGCAGCCATGAGCAGCACGCGGTTCGAGATGGACTTGGATCCAGGCACGCGGATAGTACCGTTGGCCTTGGCCCCAGGCAACATACGAACTTGCTTCTCCAGTACAAGTTCAATCTGATTGTCCTTCACGGCACGCGCGTACGGGTTGGCCAGTACCTTGCCGATCTCTTCCAGCAACACAATCTTCTTGACGCCCTGACTGTTCTTTTTGTCGACCTCCATCTTCACTAGGACGTCACGTGTCGCTACGTGGTCCGGCACGCGCACGGGGAGTCCATAAGCAGCAAGACAGCGACGTAGACGACCCACTGTGGCCGAGGTGCAGATACCCATGCCACGAGCGATCTCGGCCTCTTTGATGCAGCCCATAGAGACGCACTCGCCGTGCAGATACTCGGGCTGTAGCAGCGCCTCGATGCCGTGGCCGATACTGTGGCCGAAGTTGAGGATAGCGCGCAGACCCATCTCCTTTGTGTCTTGGGTCACGACTGTGGCCTTGACCTGCACAGTAAGCGCCACAACGCGCTGGACGATGTCCATATCCGAGAGCGAGAGGATGGTCTCGGCCGAGTTCTCGAGCAGCTCGAAGAGTTCGGCATCGAATATGGCGCCAGACTTGATAACTTCACCCATGCCATTGATGAGTTCGCGTTTCGGCAATGTATGCAGCACGTTCAGGTCGATGTAGACGCGTTGAGGCATGTGAAAGGCACCCAGCAGGTTCTTGCCGGCCTCTACATCGATGCCTGTCTTGCCACCGATACTCGAGTCCACGCAGGCAAGTAACGACGTTGGCACCTGCACAAAAGGCACGCCGCGCATGTAGGTGGAGGCCACGTAGCCAGCCAAATCTCCCACGACACCCCCACCCACGGCCACTACACAGGTGTCACGGTGGCAGCGCTTGGGGAACAAAACCTCGTCCTCGATCTTCGCCTTCATCTCGCGGCATTTCGATGCTTCGCCAGCAGGAACAGCATGCAACAACACACGGCGCGCGGCGTTTCCCTGGATCTGAAGCAGCTCGGCCAATTGCGCGCGCAGGGGCTCGGCGTAGAGCGGTCCGACGTTGGCATCCGTGAGGATAACGAAAGTGGAAGTGGTCGGCAGACGCTGCAGCAGATCCTCAGCGACGAAGCGCGACTGCAGCAGCGACGAGCCCAGTACGATATCGTACGAGCCGCACGGAACCACTTGTGGCGAGCCTGACATTGCGTGTTGGCGGTTAAAACGGAATGACGTAAATTTGAAGGGGACACCTGCGGCAGATTTGTGCCCCCGGGGGTATTGATTTGTTTACAAAGATTTTTTTTTTAAAAAACGACAATTGCGTCTAATTTATTAGCCTCAAGATGTAACGGGGTACAATCCAGTGTACCACAGGTTACATAAAGAGTGACCGGTCACTCTTGCGGACACCAGGTACACGGTACCAGGTGCTCTAGGAGCCAGTTAGGGCATGACTACTTAGCTCCACTATAGGTAACCTCTAGTTTGTAAAGGATCAACGCTAAGCTTACTTATAAATACATCAGTCTTACATCTCCAAGTAGCAAACCGTTCCCTTTGAGGCCGGGAACACGTGGACTAACGTTCACTCGGGTAGTTAATACCCATAAGCACTTCCTCTGTGCAAGATGCTGTGTGACCCCGTCACACTTGGTAGCACTCGTAGTCAATCCTACACCTTCGCGAGTAGATTGAAGTGCCTGAATCCTCTGTGCGTTCAACGTTTGAGCCACGATGAACCGAAGTGAGTTTCCTCGCTTGAACGACTCACAGCACGAGTATGTTCGGAAGATGGGAGGCATCTTTGGATAAGATGTCCTCCGCACCTTGGCGGCGGCGACGCGTGCCGATCAACACGAGCGCGTGGCCGCGTTTAAGACGTACGAGCGTGGTCTCATCGCTCACGTTCGCGGGAGCTTGGAGACCTCGGTGGCCGCTCCCCGTGCAACCAGGCCTAAACCGATAAGGCTGGAGGTCCCCGCGTTTGAGGGGAAGGAAGGAGATAACCTTCACTTCTGGGTCCGTGAGGTGGAGATCGTCATGAAGGCGGGTCTCATCTCGGACGATCCACTTCGGGTGGCTTTTGCCGTGTCCAATCTTGGTGGACATACCAAGCACTGGACACACACCAGGGAGACGACATCTCCTGGATGCTTTGCATCCTGGGCTCAGCTGTGTGAACAGCTTCGAGCCGCATTCCTATTGGCGAACGACGAGTTCCGCCAGCGCTCACGCTTTCTCGCGTGTAAGCAAGGTAAACGTGATCTGCAGGAGTACGTGCGATAGATGCGCACGTTGGTGGCATCTCTGGCAGGGAATCCTTTGCCTGAAGACATCAAGACAACAGTCTTCATGGACGGCCTGAAGGTCGATCCTGCTCGCACCCAGCTATTCCGGGTGCAATCGACAACTATGAAGGAGGCGATTCAAATCGCCCTCCAAGAAGAGTACAGCCACAAATAGGATGGTGTTCCTCGGGAAGAGGAGCATCGCCACAATGAGGTTGGCGTTCCTCGGGAGGCGGAGCATCGCAACAATGACGATGCTGCTCCTGATGTCACGCAGCCCGTTGATACCGGTGCGTACAGCGAGCTGAACCCATCGAATTAAGCTCAGCCGAGAGCTTGGTCCGCTACTACGGATGCGGCGGACATGGACACTACCAGCGTGTGTGTCCCTCGTCAGGCCTCGGGAAGAAGACAGTTCATGGACCCCATGTCCGGCGGCGGAGGACACGGCCAGGTGGACGAATACTCCCCGGCCATATGCAGAGGCTGTATGTCCTACGGAAGAGCGCTAAGCCTTCATGATGGGTGGGCAAGTTGTGCGCACCACGGGGCTTAGCCCAATAAGACGCAGTTCGCTCAGATCGGTGAAGGGCAGTGATGGGCTGCTGGTAGTACACTCGGTGTACGGGGGTTACGGTACCCCTTGAACGTTTGATAAGTTCTGGGGCGTTGATACGCCGCCGGAACGTCACTTGGCATAGCGACACCCGACTGCACTCTTCGTCAGAGTGGCGGTCATAGGTTGGTCCTTGGTAGACTAGCCATTGGTACGGTGAAGGAAGTACCAATGGACCTCAACGGACCTGAGCGTTTGGGTTCGATGAGCTCGCGCACCGCAGTGTCGCTTGCAGCTCTCGCCATGAACAGCATGGCTGTGCCAAACGTAAGGCACAGCTCGGCTTTGGTGTGGCAAGGCTGAGATGGGCCTACCAGTCCAGGTCGATGGCGGAGCGTTGGTTCCCACCTCCGTCATCACTGGGGCGTCTGATACAGACCGCCAGGACGCAGAAGCGTCACGTGGCTGTCAACGCGCCTACAGCTCTGCGTACAGCAGGACCATACTCCGCTGCGGCAATGCCACGCATGGGGCTTTTGCCCGGCATGTGGGCCTGCTACACCAGCAGCGTCCAACGCCGAAAGTCGTCGCGCCGTACGGGCTTCGACAGTGGTTATGCCTATAAGCGCTAACCAGGTTGGTAACACAGTACCACACGCAGTCGTCCAGACTATAACTGAAGAGGAAGGCATTGACAATGCTTCCTGTGTGGGTAACACAGTGCCACACGAGGTCTCGAGCTCCTCTGATGTCGTCAACGGGACATCACGACATGGGTAACGAAGTGCCGCGTCACGGCAGCCGCCGCAAGTCGGGTCCGAACCTAGTTCAGGCCGACGTCGCTTCAAGCGACTCGGAGGCCAGGGCCCGGGCTCCTCTGACTCGGTCGGTGGACACCAACTCTGTCCGGTGTGTGTGCGGGTCTGCCACACCAGCCGTCCATCCCAACACCGAAGGGCGTTGCGCCGTATGGGCTTCGACAGTGGTGGTGCCGAAGAGCATTCACCAGGTGGGTAACATAGGTCCACACTGCGGATAACAAGTTCCGCAATCAGCGAACCTGCTTAACTCTTTTGCTACCAAAACAAACGAAAGCTGCATGTTTTGCAAAAGTAGGCGGCGAATCCTCCATGAAATAAGCAAAACTTGTTATTTTTATACAACAGGTCATGTGGTATTTCTCTGGCTCGAAGGAATTGGCTCTTTTAATTATGGCCAATGGCGTTATAAATAAGTTTCACCTTTGCTCATAATGGTTCGACATATTTATCGTATTTTCTCCAATCAGCAGCCAAGCGCAAAACGACGTTATACACGCAGGAGGTGTTGTTTTTGTTTTTGATGGCTACTGAGCCATTGTAATTCCCTTTCAAAGTGATAGACACCAGTGCGGTATATGTCAGCAAAACCAGCTGATTGTGTTGATTTTACGAAAATGTTAGCTTTTTTGTATGGAGTGCAATTTACTTGACCTACTATAGGAAGCAAAAGGGTTAAGGAGACCGACATTCGGCTCCGAGCATGGGTAACAGAGTTCCACGCAAGGTCACTCAGACCATAACTGATAAGGAAGTCGCTGTATGCGCTTCCGGTGTGGGTAACAGCGTTCCGCACATCAAGGCGGTAACACAGCTCCGCAACCAAGGTGGGTAACATAGTTCCACACAACCAAGGTGGGTAACATAGTTTTACACAACCAAGGTGGGTAACAGAGCTCCACAACCAAGGCGGGTAACATAGTTCCGCACACAGAGCCATTGTCTCGAGACACGAGGCTGTCTCGGCCTCGCCAGACGTGAGCAACTCGCTCGACGTCAAGTCGCGCAGACTCAAACTGCTGACGCGAAGACTGGATGCCTTTGGTCGGCACGGCCGACGCAGCCGTCCATGCCGGCGCTGTGCACGAGGCAGGTAGCCGTCAAGCTGCCAGTGGCTATCACAAACCACGAGAGATTCAATGGTCTCAAGTTCAAGTGGGGGAGAGGCTCGGAAATACCTTTCCTCCCTGATCTTGAGGAAAAACCAAGTTCCTTATGGAGCCAGGCGTCGATATACATCGACTGCAGGCTGGAGGCGAACAGCCGAGCTAGAGCTCAGGTATCTCTAGCCAAACAAGAAAGAGTGGCGACGGAAGCCACTGGCGCTGGGTGCCTCGTAATCGCTGAGCGAATCAGCGGTGTTGGGTGCATGCAACCACACACGAGGCGACGCACGGACCTGGTGCAATCACCGCACAGGTCCCTTGGTATGAACGACCTGTCAAGCAGGGCGAACGGAAAGTCTTATCCGCTGGCAAAGCGGTTGCGGCACGTGATGTACGCAACGCGCCAGGTTTAATGGAATGTGGAGCCATAACCCAAGTGTGGTGCACGAGTGCGCACACAACTGACCAGGTGGTGGTCGAGGCAGCGCACACAGTCGTAACTGGTGCCGCGCCGAGCATGCCACCGTGGTAATGGCTGCTTGCCTCACCATGGCTCGGTACCGCATGGGTACTCGGTGTCAATACCAGACACCAACGCCGCAGTGGCATGGTGGTGATATATGCCCACCACGGTCGAGTACCATCAAGGTACATGGTGTCTATGACAGACACTGGTATGGGTGTAAATGATATGCGCCATACCACGACCCGATGCTGCTCTGGGCGTATGCGCTGTGAATCAGCGCACGTACCGTGCATCGGCACTGGCTGCTGTCGAGCAGCCTGCCGGGAGTTCCGCGTAATGAACCCGTCATGCATGACACACATAAAGTGTACGAAGCACTGTGGTACGTGTCGTACACAGCGCACCTGGTGTACGGGACCATGGACTTGCACACTGTGCTTGCACATGCGTCGTGCATGATGCGAGCACTGGCCATGAATCCGTTCAGGCGACAGCACACCAGAAGCTGTTGCCGCCAATCATGGCAACCTTGTGGTGGGCGTGCCGCACCAAAGGTTAGTACCGGAAGGTACATGGTGTCGATGGGAGACACCGGCCCCACGACTGAGTACCACAAGGGTACACGGTGTCGATGAAGGACACTTACGTGCCGTTGGTAGTGACCAAGACGCGAAGAGAGCGTGGCAGAAGCTCCGCCCGCAAGGATGGATCCTTGCTGGAGTCAAAGGCATGGCCCGAGGTGAGCTGAGAGCTCCCTCTAGTGCTGGGGCAGGTGTTGCCCTTCTCGGTGTCGTCCTCGCGGGGGGCACCATGCTCCGGACGCGTTCGCGAGGACTGTCGTGTCCTCTGGTGCGAACTGTGAGCGAATGTCACACGTTCGGATGCTCTTACACCCTGTGCCAAAGCACTGTACACCGTAGCCTGGAATCCCCTTCTGGTCTGTACATTTCAAGACCAACATCAGGGGAA